GGGTTGAGCTTTTCTCTTTCGGCCCGCCTCTCAATTGTCAATCAACTGTTTACTAACTAATTTTTGTTTTCTCTCCACACCACACACACCAGGAAGCAGCCCGTGACAGCTGACTAACACCCAGGTACCTATTTTACTGCTAGGTAACAGGGGCATAGGGTGAAAGAAACTCTGGCCATTGTTTCTCTCCGGCGCCCGGGAGCGAACCCGGGACCACAGAATCACAAGTCCAGTGTGCTGTCCGCTCGGCCGACCGGTTCCCATCATGATTGTAAACCCACACTAAATAAGGTGTACATTGAGGGAACAAGGTGAAGAGTTAGGAGAAGGAGGAGGAGGAGTAAAATGAAGAGGAGGGAAGGACAGAGTAGAGAAGAAAGGGAGGAAGATGAGGAGACGAAGTAGAGAAGAGGGAGGAGGATAGCCCAATGATGGAGGAGGCGCTAGGTACTGAGTCCGGCCACAGGAATCTTAGCCTGTACACGCGGCCTCTCACCTGGTGGGCGCTGCCTCTCACCTGGTGGACGCTGTCTCTCACCTGGTGGACGCTGCCTCTCACCTGGTGGACGCTGCCTCTCACCTGGTGGACGCTGCCTCTCACCTGGTGGACGCTGCCTCTCACCTGGTGAATGGTGGCCACAGCGGGGTGCTGGTGATGCTGGCAGTCTTCGACCAGAGCCCTGGCTGAGAGGAACGGGGAGAGGCAGCGCGTCTCACGTCGTGGGAGATGTTGGAGGCAGGGTGGAGAGGCAAGGTTGGGGGAGGGAGAGACACGAGAGATAATAGTGGTAATGAGGAAGGAGCAACGGGGCGGGAAATGACACCAACCTTTCCCCAGGAGAGAGAGAGAGAGGAAGAGAAGGGGGGAGGGGCGAGGTGATGGGGAGGGGGGAGGGTTATGGGTGTAGCGGCGGCTGATGGTGGTGGTGATAGTGATGATGATGATGCTTGCCTATCAGTACTTACCTAATCGTGTCTACGGGGAAATGGGGTTCAACTCTCCATGCCTCGTCCACTCCCCTCGGAGAAGTATACTCACGAGTCATAATTACTCATACTCCGCCTAAGACAAAAACTAAAACCAAGTAACAGTTAGTGGGTCAGCCAGAGGCTTACGGCCCGCGCACGAATATCCCTGAAAAAACTCCCCTTGTACTTGTTGCATTCAACTATTCTCATGTTCAAATTCTTTCTTGAATCTGGGCTTAAAGTTGTGGATGGAGGTGGCTTCCACAACTTCTTCTTTCCGTGGAATTATTGACTACCAATAGAGTACGAGTATTTCCTTACATTCCTCCGACTCCTTTGTGTTTCCAGCTTACACCTGTGTTCTCTCATCCTACTTCCTCTCAATCTGAAGAGGCCATCCTTGTCCACCTTGTTTATTCCTTTCAGCATCTTGTATGTTGTAATCATATCCCCCATGTTTGTTCTACCCTCTTGGGTAGACCTCCTCAGTCTGAGTATGTGGTCTCTTGCTGTTTTTCTCTCCTTATCTGGCTTCAGTTGGTCCTTATCTTTTGCCGCAATGTCATTTTCAAATTCTGTTTCTCTCTCGACACGAGCGTATTCATTTCCGTTTCTCTTCAGAGTCTATCTATTGTCCTCTGTTTCTATTGCTCTGTGGGTTGTGAGATTTAGTTCCATGAGCCTATCCTCTTAGCTTAGCACTCTTAGCTCTGGCACCAATTTTGCTACAAACTTCTGTACTTTATAAATCTCTGGTTTAATGCTTCACAAGGTGCGGATTCTAAGCCGGTGCTGCATATTCCAGTATTGGTCTAACAAAAGCGGTGTAGAGTGCCTTCAAGAAGCCCTGATTTAGACTTCTAAATGATGTTATTACGGTTGCCAGCATCCCATATGCTGCTGATGTTGCCCTGTTTATGTCTACCTCCAGTGTTAGTGTTGGAATTATATCCACTCCCAAATGTCACTCTCGTTCTGATTCATGTAGCAGTCTTTCCCTTATGGTGTAGACACCTTTCAGTTTCCTGTCTCCGTTTCCCGTTTTCATTACCTTACACTTATTAGGATTAAATTCCAGCAACCATTTGTTTGCCTTCCCCTGGAGTTTGTCAACGTCCTCTCCTCTCACATTCCTAATCAGCTTTGCATCATCTACAAACACTGACATGAACGAGCCGACTTCCTCGGGGGAGGTCGGTCACATAAATCAGGAGCAGCAGCGGCACCAGGACCGAGCCTTTAGAGACCAAACTTATTACATTCCTCCAGCTTAAAACCGCTTCTCTGACTGACTCTTTGCCGTCTATCCTTCAGGTACTTACTCCCTTATCCGGCTCAGTGTTTTTTGCAGTCATCCCAGCCTGCTTCTCCATCTTGTACACCAGTCTTTCGTGAGGGACAGTTTCAAACACTTTCTGACACTTTTCTCTCACTGTTACTCTCTCTCAGTCACTCTTACTCTCTAACTTGGAAATCTGCCGATGCAACTGAGCAGTTCATTCAAGGAGGAGAAAAGTAAACCTCTGGTTCAATAGGCAATGAAGGCAATGAAGGCTAGCTAAAGAAAGAAGAGAAAAAAAGCCTGGAAAAAGTAGAGAGAAATAGGAACAAAGGACAATAGAGAGGCACTAAAGAGAAACGGAAATGAATACAGCCGAGTCAGCGCAAAAAACAGGGAATTTGAAAATGACATTGTGGCCAAAGCTAAGGACTAACTGAAGCCGTATAAGGAGAATATTATTATCTACAATTTAGTTATCTACAATTTTACTAAAGTGCTAGAGTCAGGAAATCTCCCAAGATTCTGGAAAAAAAACCAAATGTACTCCCTCAATTTAAAATGGGGATGCCAGGAACCATTAAAATTACAGAGCAGTGTCTTTGTTTTCTACTTCTGTAGTGACTACAATGTCTTCCATTGCTTCTTCTGGACTGTTATCCTGCAACTTTGGCCTTTTCTTTTTGTTAAATTATCCGCTGTCTCTTCAGTCTGAGTACGTGGTCTCTCGCTGTTTTTCTCTCCTTATCTGGCTTCAGTTGATCCTTATCTTTTGCCGCAACGTCATTTTCAAATTTGGTTTCTCTCCCGACACGGGCGTATTCATTTCCGTTTCTCTTCAGTGTCTATCTATTGTCCTATTTCTATTGCTCTGTACTTTTTTCAAACCTTTTTCATCTCTTCTTTCTTCGACTTAGCTCCTACTATCCTCATGTCCCCAACTGATGTTATTGCTAGTATGTAATCTCGCTGCTCTGATTCCTCTGATAATGTTATTTCTTCAAGCTGTAGTAAGAGAGCCGCAACACCACCATCTTTGTACACCCCATCTTTCCCTTTTACTTGATATCCTCGTGGCAAGATAGCATTTCCTCTAACACTTGTCAGTTTTGTTTCCTTTACTGCCATCACCAGGTTGTTCTGCCACTCTTTCCCGTAATTCTACCCCTTAATTTGTAATCCCATCTGCATTAGTGTACATTACTTCTATGCCACTGGACATTACTTCTATGCCACTGGACATTACTTCTATGCCACTGGACATTACTTCTATGCCACTGGACATTACTTCTATGCCACTGGACATTACTTCTATGCCACTGGACATTACTTCTATGCCACTGGACATTACTTCTATGCCACTGGACATTACTTCTATGCCACTGGACATTACTTCTATGCCACTGGACATTACTTCTATGCCACTGGACATTACTTCTATGCCACTGGACATTACTTCTATGCCACTGGACATTACTTCTATGCCACTGGACATTACTTCTATGCCACTGGACATTACTTCTATGCCACTGGGCTGCTTTTGTTTTTCTAGAGGGGTCGTTGCTCATATGGCTGCATTTCCATGTCTATCAGGGAAAGGGGTGGTGGCTGTGATGGTGGTAGCTGTGATGGTGGTAGCTGTGATGGTGGTGGCTGTGATGGTGGTAGCTGTGATGGTGGTAGCTGTGATGGTGGTGGCTGTGATGGTGGTGGCTGTGATGGTGGTGGCAGTGATGGTGGTGGCTGTGATGGTGGTGGCTGTGATGGTGGTGGCTGTGATGGTGGTGGCTGTGATGGTGGTGGCAGTGATGGTGGTGGCAGTGATGGTGGTGGCAGTGATGGTGGTGGCTGTGATGGTGGTGGCTGTGATGGTGGTGGCTGTGATGGTGGTGGCTGTGATGGTGGTGGCTGTGATGGTGGTGGCTGTGATGGTGGTGGCTGTGATGGTGGTGGCTGTGATGGTGGTGGTGACAGTGATGGTGGTGGCTGTGATGGTGGTGACAGTGATGGTGGTGACAGTGATGGTGGTGGCTGTCATGGTGGTGGCTGTGATGGTGGTGACAGTGATGGTGGTGACAGTGATGGTGGTGGCTGTGATGGTGGTGGCTGTGATGGTGGTGACAGTGATGGTGGTGACAGTGATGGTGGTGACAGTGATGGTGGTGACAGTGATGGTGGTGACAGTGATGGTGGTGGCTGTGATGGTGGTGGCTGTGATGGTGGTGACAGTGATGGTGGTGGCTGTGATGGTGGTGGCTGTGATGGTGGTGACAGTGATGGTGGTGGCTGTGATGGTGGTGACAGTGATGGTGGTGACAGTGATGGTGGTGACAGTGATGGTGGTGGCTGTGATGGTGGTGGCTGTGATGGTGGTGGCTGTGATGGTGGTGGCTGTGATGGTGGTGGCTGTGATGGTGGTGGCTGTGATGGTGGTGGCTGTGATGGTGGTGGCTGTGATGGTGGTGGCTGTGATGGTGGTGGCTGTGATGGTGGTGGCTGTGATGGTGGTGGCAGTGATGGTGGTGGCAGTGATGGTGGTGGCTGTGATGGTGGTGGCAGTGATGGTGGTGGCAGTGATGGTGGTGGCTGTGATGGTGGTGACAGTGATGGTGGTGGCACTGATGGTGGTGCCAGTGATGGAGGTGCCAGTGATGGAGGTGATGGTAACCATGGAGACGCCACTCACCAGGGGGAAGGAAAAACAAGAGTGGCAGAGATGAGCACCGCCCCACCTGGCTTCTTCCCAGTATGATCACACCATAACTCGATAAGATCCAGGGGATGAGGGTGCCTGGGTGTGGCTTTGTGAAGGGGGCGGGGTGTGGCTTGGTGAGGGGTGGCGGGTTGTGGCTTGGTGAAGGTGCCTGGGTGTGGCTCGGTGAGGGGTGGCGGGGTGTGGCTTGGTGAGGGCGGCGGGGTGTGGCTTGAAGGCGGCGGGGTGTGGCTTGGTGAAGGCGGCGGGGTGTGGCTTGGTGAGGGCGGCGGGGTGTGGCTTGGTGAAGGCGGCGGGGTGTGGCTTGGTGAAGGCGGCGGGGTGTGGCTTGGTGAAGGCGGCGGGGTGTGGCTTGGTGAGGGGTGGCTCGGTGAGGGTGGCGGGGTGTGGCTCGGTGAAGGCGGCGGGGTGTGGCTTGGTGAGGGGTGGCTTGGTGAAGGCGGCGGGGTGTGGCTTGGTGAGGGTGGCGGGGTGTGGCTCAGTGAGGGTGGCGGGGTGTGGCTTGGTGAGTGTAAATTATTTATTAATATTTGTATTGATCCCGAGTATTGTAAGTGTATAGTGTAAGGGGAGGCGAGGACAAAGGACAAGTGAACTCCGAAGCTCTTAAGTACTGTCCTCAACCCACACCACCACAGTCACACTGGTAAGGTCGTTCCTCGTCGTGCCCCACACTACCTACGTGATGGTCGTTCCTCGTCGTGCCCCACACTACCTACGTGATGGTCGTTCCTCGTCGTGCCCCACACTACCTACGTGATGGTCGTTCCTCGTCGTGCCCCACACTACCTACGTGATGGTCGTTCCTCGTCGTGCCCCACACTACCTACGTGATGGTCGTTCCTCGTCGTGCCCCACACTACCTACGTGATGGTCGTTCCTCGTCGTGCCCCACACTACCTACGTGATGGTCGTTCCTCGTCGTGCCCCACACTACCTACGTGATGGTCGTTCCTCGTCGTGCCCCACACTACCTACGTGATGGTCGTTCCTCGTCGTGCCCCACACTACCTACGTGATGGTCGTTCCTCGTCGTGCCCCACACTACCTACGTGATGGTCGTTCCTCGTCGTGCCCCACACTACCTACGTGATGGTCGTTCCTCGTCGTACCCCACACTACCTACGTGATGGTCGTTCCTCGTCGTGCCCCACACTACCTACGTGATGGTCGTTCCTCGTCGTGCCCCACACTACCTACGTGATGGTCGTTCCTCGTCGTGCCCCACACTACCTACGTGATGGTCGTTGCTTGTCGTGCCCCACACTACCCACACGATGGTCGTTGCTTGTCGTGCCCCACACTACCCACACGATGGTCGTTGCTTGTCGTGCCCCACACTACCCACACGATGGTCGTTGCTTGTCGTGCCCCACACTACCCACACGATGGTCGTTGCTTGTCGTGCCCCACACTACCCACACGATGGTTGTTGCTTGTCGTGCCCCACACTACCCACACGATGGTCGTTGCTTGTCGTGCCCCACACTACCTACGTGATGGTCGTTGCTTGTCGTGCCCCACACTACCCACACGATGGTCGTTGCTTGTCGTGCCCCACACTACTCACATGATGGTTGTTGCTTGTCGTGCCCCACACGATGGTTGTTGCTTGTCGTGCCCCACACTACCCACACGATGGTGTTTGCTTGTCGTGCCCCACACTACCCACACGATGGTTGTTGCTTGTCGTGCCCCACACTACCCACACGATGGTTGTTGCTTGTCGTGCCCCACACTACCCATACGATGGTTGTTGCTTGCCGTGCCCCACACTACCCACACGATGGTTGTTGCTTGTCGTGCCCCACACTACCCACACGATGGTTGTTGCTTGTCGTGCCCCACACTACCCACACGATGGTTGTTGCTTGTCGTGCCCCACACTACCCACACGATGGTTGTTGCTTGTCGTGCACCACACTACCCACACGATGGTCGTTGCTTGTCGTGCCCCACACTACATACACAATGGTTACTGCTCGTTGTGCCTCACACTATCTACCTAGTCTTTTTTCAGGGAGTGGGATCAAGAAAATCTCCTACTGTCAGATATACACACTCCTGGTCGTCCCTGCTCAATAACTCCACCAGTATCCCAAATACATAAAAATTGAATTCAGTAATAATGTTAAACTTATTTATTCACAAACACTGTTTACTCACAGTGATCACAAAGGTGCTGACCAAACTACAATCCAACATAACTTAGGCTTAAACTGTACACTTTACATTAATCATTAACCCTGATCCCGCTCATAAACTTAACCTGGTGATTCCTCTAATTAAAATAACAAACACCATACTGGTTATGCTTCTTTTGGGCATTGAACAGCCTGACAGTGCCTCTGGTAGGTTCTCAGTTGGCATCAGCCCTGAGGCCTGTTTCAACCAACTCTATCACATCTGATGTCTTTGTGCTGCAATGCTCTTCCTCACCTATGAGTCCTAGACATCTTGTTGCCACCAAGCCTTGCCACCGCCTCTGCCTTAGTTCTTCCACTACACGGCGATAGTAGAAGAACCCCGTGTAGTGGAACGCCGTGTCCCGAGTCTCACCTGTGTCCACTCATGCCAGAGCACATCCACCTTGTCTGAAAGGTGTGTTGCATACCTGCTGATGATATTCATGTTAGTGAGCGTTACGTACATTCCCAAGTCTTCCTCATGATTCGTGGCCATGTCTTCCTCCCCCATTCTCTTCACTCTCAAATTGCATTACGTTAACTGGTAATTACGGCTACTGACCGACTGTGTGGGTAAACTTGCTGCGTGTTCGGGTCCTCGAGCTGTATTGTACAGTATCACACTTCTCATTAACTTTGCATCGTCTTCTCGGTAGGTCACTGATGGGCGTCACAAATTGTATGGAGTCAAGAACTGAGCCCTGTTGGAGGCCAGAGTGACGGGTGGATTGCCCCACGGCTCTGTTCATGGGCCTTTACTGTCCACCGTACGGTATGTATAGATAATTTAGATGCCGAAGTGTACAGCAACATTAGCAAATGTGTTTATCACAGTATAACTGGACAGGTAATACACGGAGACAAAGACCCAGCAACGTTAAATGGCCACTTTCAAAATGGAAAGAAAACCGGTCCCTGGCCAGGTCGGATCAACCAGGCTGCTAGATGCTGCAGCTCAAATTCTGGTGTACGAAATATTGCCCGGTTTATTTGAGGTGTTTATCAAGTTCCTTTTTCAACACTGACAGAGGAAGGGTTCTCAAAATTCTTGGGCCATTAATATTGATATAATTGTCTCTTAGTGTACATATGGTATTTCTACTTTCAATGACTGTTCTTAATGCCCGGGATTAACCGTGCAGCGATGGCCTCGCCTCTTATAGGGTAGGTGTTCGAGCCCGGAGAATCCAAGATATACTGAAGTATAATTCTAAAAAAACTTTCACTCTCACTAACCAACCTCCCTCCCCCAGGGTTAGTAAACCCTTAGCAGGGGACCCTGACCACTGGGACACTCCCACAGGGAAATACAGGGGAAGGGACTAGGGGTGGCTCAGCAGTTTTTAGGGCAACATATTTGGCACCTTCGTGCCTCATCTTCCCTGGAGTGCCTCACCACCTCCCCTGCCCCTAGTAGCTCACAACTGGACCCTGTCACGTCCCTCTGGGGGTGAGGGGGGACTAGCGACCCCTGGGAAGAGGTACAATTGAGGTTCTCAGGAATAATGCATGAGGGCAATATGTTTAATGCTGAGATGCTGGTGGGTCTTACACGGCCAGGAAGAAGGGGAAGGGAAAGCAGGCAGGTGGGGAAGAAAGGCAGGCAGGTGGGGGCAGGAAAGGCAGCCAAGGAGGTGGGGATGGAAGGCAGCCAAGGTGGTGTGGGAGGGAAGGCTACAGTGAGGTGGAAGAGAGAATGGAGAGTGTGTTAATACGTAATATATGAGAGGGTAATTGTTCAACTGTAGCAGAGAACTATGACAAGAGACAGGGTCACAGAGAGAGCCGACGATTATCAGCAAATAACTGTTTAGACAAGCTTGCTCCACACACACACACATAGTGGTATACCAGTTACATTAATAATGTGTCATTCAAGGGCTAACAATCAAACTTTAACACGAATATTCACGGAAGAATGCCACCTATAGGCCTAGCACTGAAATGACATTTTTAAGAGCCTAGGCCTATCAATGCAGTAAATTGGGGAATAAAGGTACTGGGGAAATCATTGGACACATATTTAAAAGGTCAAATGTAATGCATGCAAATGTCAACAGTTTCAAGCTCATAATTTCAAGTTATTACCTAATTTTGATACAAAAAAACAGGTAGATTTATAAATCCTAAGTCAATCTTAACAGAGAACAATCAACATGTGCTCCGCCTGAATCCCTACACATTTCATATCTAACTTTAGCATCGTGAACCACATTTTAAGAACTGGAACGCATCCAGTTCTTAAATTTGTTCACAAGACTCGCTGTGTCTGTAGGAGCGATTCTGTAAAATTTCTTTGCAGATCCTTCTCGGATTTCATTATATCGTAACCCGTTCATAAGGGAGGTTGTAAAAAGGTTCTTTATTTTGGCGTATTCATTATTAGAGTTCTGAAAAGGGATGAAATAATTGAAAAATGTTTACATTTATAACATACATTAAAAATGATAAACATCAATAAACACGACCTTTTTTTTTAATTCTTGCAATTTCATAGAAACAGCTAATTCTGGGACACTCTGTACATTCGGAAGGTTCAACATTGCTTCAGAACTATCTAAAGTCTTTTGAAATAGACGAATGATTGACAGAGGCAGTTTTAATGCTGACAAATATATGGCTCTGAGGCTAGGTAACGATGATAGCGTTGCCAGATATCAACTTGATGGTATTGAATAATAAAAAAAGATATCTGTGAGCCATAATTAACATGGATCTATAGAGAAAACTGTATGTATGAATGTTTGGAAGAACATAAAAAAGAAGATAACTGTAGAAGGCCTAATGACCCATACGAGGCAGCTCCTATTTATACCCACCCAAACTCATTCATATATATGTCTAACCTACGCTTGAAACAATGAAAAGATCCTACTTCTATTATGTAAGGCGGTAATTGGTTCCACAAATCAACAACCCTGTTACCGAACCAGTAACAGGGAAGCCTCCTCACCAAGAAGGCAAACAGAATATTAGGATTTACCTACAGAAGTGTTACCTACAAAATACCTCAAGTTACTTGTCAATGTTACCTGGCTCTTGTTAGGCCTATTTAGGCGATGCTGCTCAATTTTGGTCATCATGCTATAAAATAGTATTGGCTTGAACATCTTCAGAGAAAGATAACAAACTTAATGCGAACTTACAAACAAAATTACGAATTTTCTATATGCAGCGAGATTAAAAAAGCTCAATTTGCAGTCTATACCTGGATTGTACCTGGATGAGGTTCTAGGAGTTCTACTCCCCCAAGCCTTGGCCTAGAGGGGCGATGAGTTAGGGGAGACATGACTGAACTATACAAATGGCTAAAAGCCTATAACAAATGAGATATTATTAAGGTACAAGATATATCAACACGAAATAGAACACAAAACACTCAAAATATATTTGATAAGTTTAGATTCAGGAAAGACCTGGGTAAATACTGGCTTGGAAGTAGAATGGTTGGTCTATGGAACAAATTGGCAGGTAACATAATAGACATGGGATTACTTGATCCCATGTCTATTATCAACCTGTTGATACACGTGATCAAGTGGAGGTGAGACATATTGGGCTCTTATGGACCAGTATATCTTTTGCACCTTTAGTTCTTGTGCTCTTCCCATGTTAGCTGAGCATGTTAGCTGAGCATGTTAGCTGAGCATGTTAGCTGAGCATGTTAGTGGAGCATGTTAGTGGAGCATGTTAGCTGAGCATGTTAGCTGAGCATGTTAGTGGAGCATGTTAGTGGAGCATGTTAGCCGAGCATGTTAGCTGAGCATGTTAGCTGAGCATGTTAGCTGAGCATGTTAGTGGAGCATGTTAGTGGAGCCAAGCATGATGTTTACACTTAAGATTACCTTAAGCTCTCCTCATTAATCTCTGCCATCTCACACCTCAGTTACCTCACAGTTTACCTAAACTTTGTCTCCACCTCATTTAGATACCATTTTATTACTCGGTAACCTCCCAATATTTAGAACATAGAACAACAACACTTTATAATCACACACAAATCACATTAACGTGATTTAAATGTTGTTTTAGATTCAGCTACTTGGAACAAAACGTTCCTTGTAGCACGGGCTATGGTGATCCCGTAGTGGCTCATAGTGACTACGGAGACGTGGGAAGAAACAGAAGGAATATGAGGAATATGATCGATCACAACATACAAGACTGAGGGGGTTAATTAACAAGGTGGACAAGGACAACCTCTTTAATGTCAGAGAAAGTAGGACAAGAGGACACAAGTGGAAACTGGAGTCGCTAATGAGTGGAAGAAATGGAAGGAAATACTCGTAATTGGAATGAACTGAAAGAGGAAGTTGTGGAAACCACCTCCATCCAGTTTACAAAGAATTCAAACAAGAACAAATATGCAAATTCAAACCAATCAAGCTAGATAAGCTCGATAAGATAAGATAAGCAACTTGATAAGAACTCGATAAGCACCTCCAAAGGATACCTGATCAACCAGGATGTGACTCATACGTCAGGCTGGGAGCAGCCGCGTCCAACAGCCTGGTTGACCAATTCAACGAGGAGGCCTGGTCGACGACCGGGCCGCGGGGACGCTAAGCACCGAAAACACCTCAAGGTAACCAATCAAGCTAAATGAAGGGTCGTAGGCGGAGCATAAAGAGGAAGGTCTTACATCCCCGTAGTCAATGTTAGGCGAGTACTATTAGGTAAGCACCCCCACCACCACCACCCTCCAGTCTTCCACACTTACACCTCTTCCCTCTTGACTGGCGTGGGCGTGCAGCTGGGGGTGGGTATGGGTGTGGGCGTACTGATAGGCGTTGGAATGATGTCAGGCACTGGACGTCTGCGGGCGGGCGGGTGTGGCGGTGGGGGTAAGGTTTACATGAAATGGGCGTGACGGTGGACGTGAGGTGAGGAATGGGCGTGAGGGATGGGTGTGAGGGATGGGCGTGAGGGATGGGTGTGAGGGGTGGGTGTGAGGGATGGGTGTGAGGGGTGGGCGTGAAGGGTGGGCGTGGGGGGGGGTTCTGTACCAACAAAGGCAGAGTTATAGATCCGGCAAGTCTCTTATCGTTTCTGCCAGACGTAATCTGATTTATTGATTTATCTGTGATCCCACAACCTCCACTATCCCCCCCCCCTCACCCAGCAACCTCTACCATCCCCCGTACCACCACCGTACCCTAAATCAAACCCCCCAGCATCCCCTCTACCCCCCACCATCACCCCATATTGCACCATCTCCCACCCCACAACCTACACCACCACCCCCCCCTTCCCCACTTCACATTCCTCTCCCCTCCCATCTCTTAGCATTCCCCTCTAGCCAGTTTTCCCTGATCCTCCAATCTTCCCTCACCTTCTCCCTCACATTCAACAGTAAATGTACAGGGGATGAAATTGAAAACAGGGAAGACATGCTCACAGAGAATGACAGCAAGGTGTGTGAGGAACTCAACAGATTTCAAGCTTTCAAGAAGTATTCACAATAAAGGAAGGAAAATCACCTGAACTGAGGGAGACAATGTTAAACCAAGA